ACCGCCTTGTGTGCGCTTGATTCCCAAATACAGCGTGCTTGTGTTTGCCTGTGAAGGAGTGTGGGCCGGCTCTGTTGATGAAACGTGGCTCCCATCCGCATGCCTCCCGGTCTTATTCCTTCGGGTTTACACTGGATATAGGGTGTGTGGTTGGAGCTGGGGAAGGTGCAGCGCAAGCCATCCATGGTCTCTCTGTAGGCATATATATATATATATATATATATATATATATATATATATATGGTTGGCGGCATCCGGTTTCGGATTTGCCTGTCACTGTGGCAAGCCACAGGACGCCTGCGCCTACAGAGGGACCATGGATGGCTTGCGCTGCACCACCCAAAGCTCCAACCACACACCCCATATCCAGTGTAAACCCGAATGAATAAGGCCGGGAGACATGTGGATGGGAGCCACGTTTCATCAACGGAGCCGGCCCACACTCCTTCACAGGCAAACACAAGTACACTGTATTTGGGGAATCAAGCGCACACAAGGCGGTGGCTGGACCGTAGTCCGCTCCACACTGAGTGCATGGAACCGCTCTTTGAGCCTAGCACGGCCACAAGGACCGTGCACCCCGTCCCCTCCAGCAGCGACCAACTGTCTCCTGGAGCCAGTATGGACGAGGTAGTGGGTAATAGACAGGTAGGCACCTTGTCAACATACACATCAAGCGCAGCCACACCGGAGATATCAAGCAACAGCCATTCACTTTAAGCGACAAGCTGAAATAAAATAAATCCAATAATGCATACAGATACGGTGGCATAACTCTTCGCTAAATTACCATATGAAGTAAGTTGGTTAGTAAGGAATCCGCGATAAGTAAGAAATGTCCACAAGTTACTTAAAAATGCTACAAACTCAACAAAATTACCGAAGATAAGCGCAATTAGCGTAAGCAACGTGGCCAGGTTATAGAACATTATTCAGGTAGGCAGGACAAAGCAAATAAAGTGGAATGAAATTTATCCAGTTTAAAAAGGCCTAGTTTAAGTGTAAGTTGGTTTAGCCCAACTGCGGTGAAGAGGCATCAAGAATGCAACCTCAGCCTCAGCATGGAGCATATATATATATATATATATATATATATATATATATATATATATATATATATATATATATATATATATATATATATATATATATATATACAATCTGTGGTACAGATATTGTGCCATCGGAATCATGGTGAATAGGAAAACAATATGACTAATAAGAAAGGAGCAACAACAAAAGCTTTTTTGCCTATTTACCACTCAGTTTTTGAAATTAGTTTCAGTTTGTTCTTTTTTAAGGGGAGGAAGAAAGGACACCGCAACAAACCGATGCACACGTCCGCCATTGACATCGATCATGATGCATGGCTTCCAAGGTCTTCACCCAGCAATTATCCGCATCTGTCGGACCCCAACCAGGTAGTCGACAGAAATGGAAACTCGACAACCTTGAGGGAAGCCGTTTGTTGTCGAAAGGGCGTCCGACGATTCGCTGCAGACTGTGATGCAACGTGTGATGCTCGAGTGCAGATCACACCAAAGGTTCAAATATCTGAAAGGAACACCCTCCTGAACAAGCACGTCGAACAGAACGGAGCGGTCAAATGGGTCGAGTTCAACAAATGAAATGGAGGAACACTAGTACTGTCACTCTGCGGTACGTGTGACGCTGTTCTGGCATCTGCTGCTCCATCCCAAAGATAAGTCGCCCTGAGTTTTCCCCATTGATGATTCCCCCAGTGCCCTTGTTACTATTGTCGATGTTAGGATGGTCAGTACGAACGGTGAGACTACTTATATCGCTGATGTGGTCCATTCCTCGCAACTGATTGTGATAGTCTTTTCTCCCATATCTGCTAGAAAGAGTGGGCCAATGCCTTACAAAGGCCACATCGAGGTGCTTAAATTACACAATTGTGACAGACTTCGGAGCAGAGGTGGTGTCCGGGAGAAAGTAAGAATTGCCTTGGAAATCCACTATTTTAGCGATTAATCGATCATTAACGAGTATCGCATCGATTTCGAACGTTCCGGAATGTCCTACTTCTGCATGTGATTAAAAACTACCTGACGCCTCGGCAAAAGATTTGGGGAACTACTAACCTTGGTGGCTGACCCTCCAATTCTAGAAGTCGAAGATCAGTAAGAGACCTATAAATACAGCCAGGGTCCGCAGTAGTTGTACAGTGTCCGCTGGCGGCGATTAATATGTTATTTTGTCAAGGCCGCTGGCGTTTTGCTTTTCCTCCGATTGGGCAGTAGATTGTTGGAGCAGTAAATTATTTTTGGAATTGCGTCTAGTGAGAAGATTATAACAGGTGGAAAACGATTGAGAGCTGTGATCGCGCGTCGTAAGTCAATAGCTGAAATAACCTCCCACATTGACCGACTATGGTTCGGCTTGAGTGGGTAAAGGCCCAGCAACTGGTGACCATCTAAACTGCTCACGATATCGCTCCGTTCAACGAACCAGACGGAGTCCTTTATTTCGATTTGGTGTACCGACAGTTACCTTGATTGGCTCACTAATGCATTTATTCCTGAGACTAGTGGTGTGGATCAATTGGAAGCCTGTGGCAATTCTTTCCGCTCCGGCTCCTCCGTTTCCTGAGCCCTTTTGTTCCAACACGCTTCCTTGTTAGAATGCAAGCTCAGTCCACCCTTAAGGGTCCGTTCGGTCACTGCTCAAAACCAGCAAGGAGTTCCCTTCTGGATTCAAAGAGGTTCACTGACTTCTCGGATATCCAGTGACTGAAACAGTGACGATCGATGATACCCTTAGCAGAGGTTCCCGCATTGTGCATGACGGCAGGAACACCATTCCATTAAAACCCGATGTCCTTTGGATTATTACTAAAAGCTTGGTATGCCGTGTATCATAGTAAAGTTTACCTGGTCGTGAGTCGAGACCGTCTCAGTTGCCATTGGAAGGAAACATTTGATATACCTCCGAAGAAAGTTCAAAGAAAATCGATAAATTACCATGGGATGGCCCGTCGACGCATGTGTTCCAAAACGAGCATCACTCATCATCATTCTACACGTTAGCTAGAGGTGGGTAGACCTCAGCCATCGTGCCGTAATGCATAAGAGAAAAAAACCATACAACAGAGGCACGCCAGCTAAGCGACCAGCAACGGATGGACATCGCTCTGGAAAGCCAACAGCCAGCTGTTGTGTCGCAAAAAGTTATAATGTGCTTCAGGGATAAGATCGTAGTTGGAGTGGTGACTATGCCGGAGGCGGAAGAACAAATAAACACAACATTAACGCTATTGAGGTCGGCTCCTTGCCATGCCAACAAGTGTATCCAGCCAAACGTGTTCATCATCTTTCGGGCCTCAACCAGGGAGCCAAGGGCTCCAACCGAGGTGAACTTCGAAGGGCCTTCATTCCTCTAGGCCAAGTAATCGCCTGGCCACTCCTCCTCTTCTTTCATCCACGCCCTCGGCGCGCAAACAACGCACGTCGCGGGAATCGGTGCACCGGCATATGCAACACGTAGCCCAGCCATCGGAGTCAGGTTCGTGAAATAACGCTGCCGAGCGGTTCATTTCATTTTCCAGTGCCATACGTGTGTCGAACGCACCCATTGCTCACGCAATCTTCCCACTAGATATGAGCCAAACTGCGAAGATAACTAGCCTCTCACGTCTGCCGATCTAATGGGCCAGGTTTCACAACCGTATAGTAGGGTCGAACGCACGGCTGCATTGTACACCCTACTTTTCAGGGCGAGCGTGATGTCGCGCCGACGCCGTGTATGATGAAGGTTAACAAAAGCGCCTCGTGTTTTTGCTATACGGTTTGTGACCTCGTCTCCAATTCCACCGGCACTAATACAACTGCCTAGGTGGTGAAATTACTCAAAGACTTCTAGCTGATCCCCACTAAGGGTCAGCGCAGGAGACGGTCTCTACCAACCTTGGAGGAAAATTTTGTATTTCGAGGGTGCAAAGCAAAACCCGAAACAACCGACAGCGGGCGATAATCGGTCTAGTGTCTCTTTGCACGTTTTTGAGCTGTCACAGATGAGGGTAATGTCATCAGCATACTCCAAGTCAAGAACTCGTTCACCTGGGAACAGCTCCACATCTAAGTCGCGTCCAGCGAACGACGTTTCCTTGACTTCGTCAATAGCGAAGTTGAAGAGGAAAGGTGACAGTGGACATCCTTGTCTTACACCGCTGGAGATATTGAAGGGCAGCGACAGTTTGCCGTAAGTCGTCACTATGCCCGTGCCAAGCGCGTAGAGTGCAAATAACAATTACATATTTCTCAGGCACATCTTCCGTTAGCAGACAGTCCCAAAGACTATGTCGATTCACCGAATCGAAGGCAATTTTGATGACGAGGAACACGACAGCGATGGACCACCAATATAAGTGACAGTGCTCCAAAAAGAGAGGCAGTAAAGATGACAACGTGGTCCATTTTGGCCCACGGCTGCCCAATTACCGGACGTCGCCGAGTGGCACAACCGTGTCTCATTTTGTTTGAAGACGACGCCATCAAAAAACAGTCGACAAAAGACGCCATTGTCCGAGGCTTCAAAGCTAAACTCAAACTTCCTACTTATCTGAGTATCATCTTAAAAGTTTAGACGTGATTGCGCATTCATACCTATTGTAATTGTAGTGATATGTGGACTAGTAACGCAGCGCGAACTAGTGTGCTGATTTTGTGGTAGAAGTTATCTTCGGTAACACCAGGAGTGCAATCGCTGAACATGTAAGCGGTGATCAAAAATAAACAATAGCCAACGCCGTTCCATTGGCTCATCTTAGTGGAGGTTACCAAACGGGTTCAAATATTATCTGATTTGGCTCGATGCTCTAAGCGTATTGGACAATTCCCTGTCGCTCGCCTGGATGATCGTTATATAACCGGCAATATAAACTAACAAGTGAGATATCTAATAGGTAGCATAAAAACTCCAACAGATGCTTGCTTCAGGAACCATCGTCCCCTATTGCTTATAAACCAAACTGAAGTGGTTCAAAGCCAGAATGACGAAGGTGATTGGAAAATTTGAAGGATTATGAAAAGTACCGCAGACAGTGACAGATAACTTACCTTATCCCGTATCTCTTCCATGAATTTGATACCTTGCTGCGGATCTCGGAATTCAAGAATAAGGGGTGGTCAAACAAAACGAACCTACCATGAGTAACAATCTGCTCACTAATTGGCACACACAGCTCAACCAAAGCAAGCGGGTTAATTCTATGTAATATAAGGAATCGAGTTTGAAATAGTGCTTACCTAGTCTTGAAGTCATTCAAAAACACTTGATTCAACTGAAGTGAGGGAATCAGTCAGTGAATTAGTCCTGGAGGACTTACTTCAACTAAATCTGTTTGCGCCTTAAAATTCGGTATGTTCAGACATGCCTGAAGTTTCATTGTCAGCTGATGCCACAGTCTGGAGTTGAAACAAAGCGAAACATAAAGATGTACACCGAATAAAAATCAAACGTTTGCATGCAGCAGCTGTGATAATATGGAAACTTCCTCCAAATATCTAAGCATGGAAAAAGTGACTCGGATGAAAAATGACCACATTGTGGACACAGTTTTATCAACAGTCGAGTGTGGGTGCGAGTTCATCACTTGTACGCGTGGTTTTTATCGTATGATTACATAGTGCTTGTGGAATATCTTTTGCGTGTCGTAAGAGTCTGAATACGGATATATCGGATCATTCATCAGAAATCCATCAATGCCATCGACCACTCGTGTCGACCATCAGGTTTGAGTCCGTCTGTGATTGCTTGAACAGATGGAACACTTGTGTTCGACTCCAAAATGCTCTCACGCACACCTGTGCTACTGCTGGTTCGAACAGGCCCACCTAGTTGACTCAGTGCAAATTTTTACCCCAGCCATCGCGAAACTCAACAGTAATGCGGGCTCTTCGGCTAAATCCGACTTGTGTTCACCCTACGACTCTGTTAGTTGACGTAATGATGAAAGTGGAGTGCTACACTAATCCCAAGTGTTAATTTCTCGCACTTTTCTTGATAACGTAAGGTTTTGTCGTCTTTTCAGTCGGCCCGTAGCATTCAAGGTCACGAGCCTGCCTTGTAACCCGACGACGTGGGTTGGGACCCGCGTAGAGACCGGGCGACCCTCGCAGTATCCTCTGCCCACGTGCAACTGGTGGCGGTTGCGCAGCAGCGAAGCGTCAGTACTGCGTACCGGCGTGCTGCAGATGCCTTTCTTCCGGCATTTTGAGTACTGTGACGATATTTCCCAAATTTGTGACAGCTTACAAACGTGCCAAGCAACCCTAGATAGGTTGGCGCTATCCGTCAATCGTTTCGAGTCACGCTTTGCCCATTCCAAATGCGAAGATTTTTTTAGAATTGGAACAGGGACCCACCCCTGTAATGACCATTGGTGGGGACCAGCTATACTTTTAAGCAGTCATATCAGCGCCTGTGGAATAGAAGATGTCACATAAGATTTAGCGAAAGCGCAAGGTATTTTTACTAATCTTAGCCACCTGCGGCGACGCAAAATCAGCATCGCTATCAAGAGTCTGCAATGCTGCCTTTCGTTCAGTTCTCATATGCGGTTGCGAAACAGCCCGTCAAATTCAGACGCCACGAATCCGGTGGTGCTCCAACACCGGCGACATCGTATTTCAGATCATATCTGGTATGAATCTAGCCAGATCAATTTGTCCGCCGTCTTGTTTACACCTCGGGAAGAGCAAGTGAATCGCTTTACGCCGTTATTGCACGTACCAGGCTTCGTGGACTGGACCCTGTGTTATATATGCTAGTACTCCTGCGACATGCGTTGTCTTTGCGACCAGGCTTTGGGAGAAATAAGAGGTCAACCAGTGACTTAGTCAAGAGGAATGTTCTCGTTCCAAACTTGACTTCGATTCCCACCTCCCGAATCTGGATGGCACACAAAAGCTGAGAAACATGTTTGATTGGAGACACTTGCTTACTAGGTCAGGAACCGATCTCAGTGGCAATTATGTCATGAGTTTCTTCGCCTCTCCGCTCCCGCTTCGCCTAACCCTCCAACCAAGATCGCGACTTTGAAGCGCAATAAAAAGCGTGGTACTTCTTTTTTGCCACATCTTTCCTTCATATTCTATTTTAATTGCCATCCAAATCAATACTATTGCAGCACTACATCTCAGGTGTTTCTCAACACAAGATGACGTGTTACACGATTGTCGTGATAAATGCCCAGATGCGACGCGGCCGGGCTTCGTTTCTTTGAGCACGAACTTTGTATATATATATATATATATATATATATATATATATATATATATTGCCTTCATGATGCATCCCCACCGCAGTTAGGCTAAACCAACTTACACTTAAATTAGGTCTTCTTAAGCTGGATAACTTTCATTCCACTTTATAGGGTTTGTTCTGCCTACTCGAATAATCCTCTATTAACTGGCCACGTTACGCTAATTGAGGTTATCTTCGTTAACTTTATAGCGTTTGTTGCACTTTTGAGCAACTTGTGGACATTTTGTACTTATCGCGGATTCATTGCTAACCAAGTTATTTCATATGCTAATGTAGCGAAGAGTTACATCGGCAGAGCCGTATCCTTTAAAAGATACTTTATTTAATATGGTCGTCTCAAGTGATTGGCTGTTGCTTGATATCCCCGGTGTGGCTGCAATTGATGCGCATGTTGACAAGGTGCCTAGCTGTCTTTTACCCACTACTTCGTCTACACTGGCTCCAGGAGACAGTGGATCGTTGCTGAAGGGGACGGAGTGCACGGTCCCCGTTACCATGCTAGGCTCGAAGAACGCTTCCATGCACTCAGTGTGGAGCGGACTACGATCGAGCCACCGCCTTGCGTGCGCTTGATTCCCAAGTACAGCATGCCTGTGTGTGTCTGTGAAGGAGTGTGGGCCGGCTCTGTTGATGAAACGTGGTTCCCATCCACATGCCTCCCGGTCTTATTCCTTCGGGTTTACACTGGATATGGGATGTGTGGTTGGAACTATGGGTGGTGCAGTGCAAACCACCCCTGGTACCTGTAGGTGCAGGCGTCCTGTGGCTGGCCATAAGGACAGGCAAATACGAAACCGGATGCCGCCAACCAGCAACAGTCTGCGGGAGAGCCTATGGTGCGCTGAGGCTGATGGTGGCTACATCCCGACAGATGATCTACCCATTGCTACTACTGTTGTGCCATGGGCTCATGTCCTGGACGCCTCCTTGTGGTGACCGCTGTGAGTTGGGTTACGCCCTTCTCCCTGCTAAGATCCAGGACAAGAACCCACATGACTCAGTGAACGGACGATCTGCCAGACCAACTGCCTTTCGGGTGTACATTTAATCGAAGGCTTTGGTTGAGGGCCCGAGTCGTTCTCCTGTCAGGTGTGGGCACCCTGTCAGTATCCTAGTCTCTCCTTTTCGGATGTTAGGAAGTGGTCGATGGCCCTTTTCCTCCAAAACTTAGCAATCGGAGACAACAAGTCAACGGGTTATAAGCTGACCGCTCAAGGCGATTGGCGTTGAACACGAGCGCCACGCATTGTCTCTGACGGTGGGGAGACATCTCCAGGTGCTCAATCGTTTGTTACTGCCCGCCTCAAGCCAGACAGCCCCTGGTCAAATTGGTGCAAACCCACCAAAATCCACCTGCGTCTGGCCGTGGTCGCAGGTGTATCCTACTACGGTTGCAAAACACATATGAATCGTTCCAGTACCTCAAAGGCTGCGTGTGACGGCCGTCAAGCAGATCCCAATCTGTCCCTGCAATCACATTCCCGAGCTGGATCTGCTCCCCACTGCCTTGTGGTTCAGGTTATTGAGCCAAAGGCTCCTGGCGAAGTCCCTCAAGCAAACTTCCAAACAACCCACTGCCTTGTGGGTCAGGCTATGAGTCAAAGGCTCCTGGCGAAGTCCCTCAAGCAAACCTCCGAAGCACAATTACTACCACGCGTGCGAATGTCCACCAATGCAATTGTATGCCTGCGCGCAAAACACTCATTATCGAGTGCTGGAACGTGGGCATGCTACTGGACCAAAACTCGAGTGAGCGCCCCGAGCGACGCACTGCACTGGTCACGATGGAACTAGGGCGCTACAACATCGGTATTGTGGCGCTCCGTGAGACTCGACTCGCTGAGCAAGGGAAGTTGCATGAAGCGGGTGCTAGCTACACGTTCTACTGGGTGGGCAACGCCACCTCAGCACCTACGTGGACATGCGGTCAAATTTGCATTATCCGATAGCTTCAATGGCCAGCTCGTGGGTGAACCAACAGGCATCAGCGCGCCACTGATGATTGCCCGCCTACGACTCAGAAGTAAGTTTGCCACTTTTATAAGCACATACGGTCTCACCATCTTTTATCCTGATGACACGCGTGGTTAATTCTACACGCAGTTATCCTCCGTGCTACGGTCTGTGCCGAGGAGCGACCGACTATTTCTGCTGGGTGATTTCAACGCGCGCGTTGGGCGGGATGCATCGGTGTGGACAGATGTCATCGGTCCGCATAGCAATGGTTCAGCGAATGCGAACGGTGACAGACTGCTCTCGCTGTCTGTCACTCACGGCTTGACGATCACGGGCACTCGGTTTGCACTTAGTGCGGGTGATAGAACAACTTGAACGCACACACAGAGTGGTCACGCTCATCTGCTCGACTAGGTCATCGTACGTCAGCGTGATATGCGTGAAGTGCGCATGACACGTGTACTGCGTGGAGCTGAGTGTGGCACTGATCACAAATTGGTGAACACCAAATTGTACATATATTTTCATGAATCTACGTATTGCGCTTCTGCCGTGAATCGGAGCAAATTTAGCATTCGATACTGTGGTGAAAAGTACTGAGCTGGAGAAGACGATGGCTGCACGCCTGTGTGATGTGGAATGCATAGCGGCAGTTGGTGACCTGTGGCACCACATTTGCGACCACGTGACAGATGCTGACGAGGAGACTATCAGGCGTGCAAACTATAAGCAGCGAGAGTGGTTTGAGGAGAACAATGCGATGATTGGGGCATTGGTGTCAGAGAAGAGTGCAAGATTTGCTGCACATGTGACAGAATCCAGTGACTTGGGGAAGAAGAGTCAATTTCGCAAAATTCGTCGGCGACTGCCTCGAAAGCTCTGTGGCATTGAAATGCATGGTGGACGGAGAAAGCGAAGCAGATGGAATGCTACGCCGAACGCCGCCAACACAAGGAATACTTCGACTCGTAGAAGGTGTATGGACCGATGTTGGAGTCACCGAGGTCGCGAATCGATGGTAGCTCAGGCGCTACCTGCACACAGACTGCAGAGCTAGCAAAACACTTTGAGTGTCTCTGGAACAACCGTTCAGAGATTGATTGGTCTACCTTGAACGGCCTGAAGCAGCACGATGTGAAGGCGAGTCTGGCGTGCTCGCCGACACTGGATGAGTCGTAGAGAA